GTATGCCATATGAAGACCGATGTAAGAAACTAGGGCTGTACACCCTAGCATATCGTCGGCTGAGGGTTGACCTAATCATGACACACCGGATATTACATCTTAGTGAATACCCCATGTTGAGACAACTGCATCATCTGCGCACACCAAGCAGCACGCGAGGACACCGGTGCAAACTTATCGTACCGCAGTTGAAGCGGGTAGCTCACCAACTCTGTTTCGAACGTAGAGTGGTGAATACCTGGAACAACCTGCCGCAGCCGGTAATGGAGGCGAACTCAGTGGCCGAATTTAAGTAGCTTCTAGACACACTTTGCCGAGACAAAATATAGAGAGCGGAACGATAATTAATACGTTAATGTCCAAGAGCGACAATTGATGCAGCTACACAGAGCATGCTCTAATCGCTGCTTCTAATCAGTATCAGTATCAGGCAGAGGTCGCGGGGCGGAGTGTTGTTTCTACTCGAAGACGATGGACTTGGTGTGTAAGTGTCTTGTGCGTCTGCAACTATTACGGCCTCTTTGAACCGATCGCGAAAACATAATTTCTTAGTTTTAGATGCAATCGGTTAGTGTATCACATCATCATACACGTTAGCCAGAGGTGGGAAACACCTCAGCTACTGTGCCGCAATACACAGAAGAAAAAAGGAGAAAAAGAAAGCAACTGGTGCAAGCCGGCTGAGCTACTGGTAACGGATGGGCATCGTTCCGGTAAGCTACCAGCCGGCTACTGTGCATCAAAAAAATTACTATGCGAAATTACATAAGGCTAAATAATGAGATCGTGGTTGGAGGGGGAGGCTAAGAGGGATAGGGTGGGACAAAGAAACTCACAACACGAACGCCACTGAGATCGGATCCTTGCCATGTCAACAAGTGTGTCCAACCAAACCTGTTCATCGTCTTTCGGACCCCAACCAGGGAGCCGAGACGATCCAACCGAGGCCAGCTCAGAAGTGAGGGCTTTCATTCCTCTCGACCAAGTCATCGCTTGGCCACCCCTCTTCTTCTTCCATCCACGTCCCCGGCGCGCAAACAACGCACGTCGAGGTAGTCGGTGGGCTGTCATGCGTAGCACGTGGCCGAGCCATCGGAGCCTGGTGCATGAAATAACGGTGCTGAGCAGTGCATTTCCTTTTCCTGTGCCGTAAACAAGACGTCGAACAAGCTCGTTGCTCACGCGGTGTTCCCACCAGATGTGAGCTAAATTGCGAAGGCACCGGTGGTCGAACGTAACTAGCCTCTTCATGTCCGCTGATCTAAGGGGCCAGGTTTCACAAGCGTACAGTAGGGTCGAACGTACCGCTGCATTGTACACTCTACCCTTCAGGGCAAGAGTGATGTCGTGCCGGCGCCATAAGTGGCGAAGGTTAGCAAAAGCAATTTGAGCTTTTGCTATACGGTTCGTGATCTCATCTTCAATCCCACGGGCGCTGATACAACTTCCCAGGTAGTTGAATTTTTGAACGACTTCTAGCTGATCCTCACCAACGGTCAGCGTTGGAGGCGGTCCAGACCAATCTTGGAGGAACGCTTTGCACTTCGAGGGTGCGAAGCAAAGCCCGAAGTGACGGACAGCTAGTGCTAATCTGTCCAGTGCCGCTTGACACGTTTGTGAGCTGTCACAGATTAGGGCAATATCATCAGCATACTCTAAATCAAGAAGTCGTTCTCCTGGGAGCAGATCCACACCTTCAAAGTCGTGTCCTGTGAACGCGATTTCCATGACTTCGTCAACAGCGAAGTTGAAGAGGAAAGGTGACAGCAGGCATCCTTGTCTCACGCCGCTGGAGATATTAACGTGCGACGACAACTTGCCGTAAGCCCTTAATCTGCCCGAGCTACACGCATATAATGCTCGGATAATATTCACATATTTCTCAGGTACACCTTTCCTGAGTAAACAATTCCAAAGTGCATGTCTATCCACCGAATCGAATGCACCTTTGATATCGAGGAACACCACAACGGTGGACCGCCAATATATGTGACGGTGCTCCAACAACTGACGCAAAACGAAGATGTGGTCAATGCAGCCACGACCTCGACGAAAGCCGGCTTGCTCTTCACGAATCTGGCCTTCACGCGTACCAGTCTGTGAAGGACGACAGAGACAACCAATTTGGAGGCGATGGAGATCAGACTGATTCCTCTATGGCTGCCGCATTCCGATCGTGAGCCTCCCTTGATAATTGGGACTATGACGAAGCGGCTCCAGTCGGTTCGGCAGTTTCCTGCTCCCACAGTTTAACTAGCAATTCCTGTAAATTATCCACAAGAACAGGTCCCCCGAATTTGAAGAGGGCTGGAGGAAGATCACCAGGTCCCGCGGCTTTATTGAACTTCAACAGTCCGATCTCACGTTCGACTTCTGAGCGAAAGAGTGGATCCAAAGCGACAGCCCACGGATCGGGGCGATCAGTGGCCGGCGGGAAATCCAACAGTTCCGGCCGATTAAGTTGCCTTTCAAAGTGCTCAGCCCAACGCTCCAAGCGTTTTGACAAATTGTAGATAGGTTGTCCACTCTCGTCACAAATTGTTTCACTAACACCAGGTCTCCTGCTGCCCGATTCCCGTATCAGACGGAATAAGTTGCGATGGTTACCAAGGACAGCGGCCATTTCCATCTCTGATGCACGATGAGACCACCAAGATTCGCGGTCTCTCTTCAGGCTAGCACGGAGTTTTGCCCGGAGCTCTTTGCGAGTTTCATTGTGTTCGCTTCCAGCCGGAATATGCCGGCGAGCATCTATAAGTTCCAGAGACTGTGAAGAGACCCAATGTCCATGTTGGCGACTAGACATATCACATGAGGATTTTCCTGCTGCTAGTAAGGTCTGGTGAATATGAGACCAGTGAGCTTCAATTGCATCCAGTGAGCGTTTATCCAACTCGCATGACAGCGTACTTTGATAGGCATTCAGAACAGCTGGCTTCGCCAGTTGGCTGGTGTCAATGCGCTCACAACGTCGTCTTGGGCGTCCACCAAAGCGCATCCGCATGTCAGCACATACAAGTGCATGATCGGTGTCCACACCTGTGCTCCAAATCGAGCGACAGTTCTGGACGCAGCCTCTCCATCGGTAACTTATCGCAATATGATCGATTTGCGTCCAAGGCTGGTGGGCGCCAAGTCACCCTCCGGCGGGTGCTGTGTCGGAAATTAGTGCTCGCAAGAAATAAGCGAGCATCTTCACACAAATGAAGTAACCGCTCACCGTTATCATTACGGGAGCCTATACCATGTTGGCGGCCCAGATGCAGCTCATCTGTGGATAATTTTCCAACTTGAGCGTTCAGATCCCCAACCAGCACTACAGTGTCCGAGCTTCTTCTGTGGCTAAGGAGCTCGTTTAGTTGACGATAGAAGTCGTCTTTTACCGTGTCATCGCTACAGCTTGTCGGTGCATAGGCAGCGATAACGAATAGATACCTGTTAGTCCCACGCGACTCGAAGTTTTGAACGAGCCAGCCAATCGGACCACACACATCCGGCTACTGATTGGAATCCAATCAACCAGAGCAGTTTCAGCCCACGGACTCAGGGCAATACTAACACCGGCTTGGTCGGTGCTCGAAGCTGCATCGTCACCGGATAGGCGCAATGAGAAAGTGCTGCTAGTGTCACCTGAAGGGGATTGCTGAGTGAGTACAGAGCTCGAGTCTTGCAGGCGGGTTTCCTATAGGCAGCGGATATGGATCGAGAGGGTCTCTAATGTTCGGGCAAGTGCTGCCCGTTGACCGATCTGAAGCAATGTGCGAACATTGAGGCATGCCAATCTGAAGGAGGATCGAGGGCTCCAAATGGAAGCCGATGAACTGGGCTTGACCGCTTACTTGGACATGGGCCTGTTGACAGGGCAGGAATGACGCTCCGCGTTCACATGTGAGTTGAAACTAAAAGACAAGCGACTATTGAAGCAAGGTGGGAGAGGGCCGAGAATTGGGGGGTTGAAAACAGGGGGGATAAAAGTGAAGCTGGAACGGGACGATAAGAGTGAAAAAGCGCAAGAGGGGGAATAAGAAGATGGGAAGGCTTGAGCAGTAGCATCCAAACCCCTATCCACCCTGCCCGATGCAGCAGATAGGGCACCGTTGATTATCCTCTGCGGTGGCCAGAGCATCAGAGATTGGTTTGAAGTGAGATTCATAGTATTGCGTCGGCAGGATACTGTCAGGTTGCCCAGGCCTAGACAGGAGAACGATTAGGGTTCTCAACCAAAGCCTTTGGTTCAAAAACCTGTCCGCAAGGCAGCGGGTTTGGCGTTGGGCTACAAGGAGTCCGTTTTAAGGAATAAGGAGCCACCCTCATTCCAACCCCCAACCTGGAGGACCAGGAGGCTGAGTTTGTCTGGCCTCTAACCATTGACCAATCTGGTATGAGTGACTCTGAAGGTGCAAAAATGCACCACCCACTATAGCTCAATGGATCACTGAGGCACACAAACCATCGCACCACGGTAAGGTCCAGCCTCATTGCGATGAGTTAGTGTATCTGCTCAGCAATGTTCCGGATAGAGGTTTCCTTGGGTGAACTAAGGATTTTGTCGCTGTGACTGAACCACTTCAGGCGGCATCCCGACCCTTGACTGTAATGACGGCTCATCTCTTTTATCACAGTTCGCAATTATTTGCTGAATCGTTTCCAAACCATCATGTACTTATTGTTTCTAAACCTCTTTGAGTTCGTAACTTCTACTTTAGCTACTAATGTGTCGGATAGAAACCTGGCATTTTTGCGCACATTGACGATGGAAATTTTAATTTTACTTATGCATTCAACTGACTGACACCGTTCAATATAGAGCCGCAGCACCATGGTGCCACTCATCTCTATAACTTATTATACTAATAAGACCCACCTATAGGCTTTTAGATGTATTCCATGTTATCTTTTTGCACCGCGTCTTTGAGCTAAGTTTCAACTGTTTGTGGTATATTACTCACTTTTAGATATCATCGCTCGGTCGCTTGATCTCTCTCCCGTTTTCCTCATAGGCTGAAGAGGAGGTTTGTCGCCTCGCGCGTCGTAGTGGACAGTTGATGAGTTCACGAGCGCCCCACCGTCGCCAGCTGGATCATTTGGCAGCCGAAAGGGCGACTGTGGAATATCGATTACGTCTCAAGGAGCGCGAATTGTCCGAGGTGCTCCAGAATTTATCGCTGAATGATAATTGTATTAAAAACGCAACTGCTGTCACAACAAACAACTCGGACAGTCACGACGATGGGTACAACTCCAGCGTAGCTAATCGGAATCGGAAGCAATCAATATTGGTTCGTTTTGCTGTGTTCTTATTGCACTCTGCTTCACAAAGATAGATTTATTGTCTGGACTCTTTGAGTGGTTGTGAAAATACTCAACACATGTGGTCTATATGTTTAACGTACCTTCCAGAACTTTACCTAATCTTTGATTGCCACACCGTATAATGCAGTTCCATGGCTCTAAGTTATATGGCCTATATTTGGATATACCCGCATTGAGGGAAGTTTGGTGCCACTGTCTGTTATCATTATGCTTACCATAGTCTCTCTGGATGCTGCGAGATATCTCTTTACTTGTTTGACTAGCTAGCTAGCCAGCTAAATTTCCTCCTTGGGTACTTGCTTACGATTCTTACCTGTTTTAATTTCCTCTGGGTTTAACCTCACATTTTAGAGGATTTTACGGCCTAAACATCTACAGTCAGTCCAACTGATTTACCTTCCTTACTCGAATCATACGTTACTCTGTTGCTTATTTTCAAGGCCACTTCTGCTTCTTTCTGTGGCTTTTGTGACTGCCGTTCCTGTTTGTCTCTTGTTCAGTTTACACACTGTGGGTATACTGGAAATGTGCCAACAGTTTTAGTCCATTCGCCACAAATATACGCAATAATGTAAGTACTACCAGGTGGAAAGCGCTGAGTGGTCGTTTCATCCTGTGGGGCTTATCAGCAGCACTTATCCCCCCCTTATTCATCTTGGTCGCTGCGTCACTCGTGGTCCAGTGGTAAACGTCCCGATCGCAAGTTGAGTTCGGACCACGAGGGACTCAAAGGAACATTCGCTACTGACGCAACTTAATAGGGCGATCGTTCTTCACTTTTCCGGGTGGCATTGTTCGTGTGCGTGGCGGCTCGTAGCCTTAAAGATCACAAGCCTGCCTTGCAATCCGACGACGCGAGTTCGAGCCTGCGTAAAGACCGTGCGACCAGTAGCCGTTGCGTGGCAGCGAAGCGCCGGTACTGCGTACCGACGTACTGCTGATAACTGAGTTTAACTTTGTTCGTGTGCCTGGCTCCATTTGTAATGAGACCACGTGAAACTCTTCTTGTCCCCTGCCACTTATATATTCACATTTCGTTCAATGTGCGTGCCGGTTACATGTCTGTGCAAGCATACAAGCTCGTTAAGTTCGTTTCTGTGTTTCCTTCTATTTATTGCCCCAGTTAGCCTTATCGCCATCAGCCGTTGCCCAGCTATCCTCCGCGCTCGATGCACATTCCAACCCTTCTGACGCGGAAGTCATTGATAGAAGCGATGATCCAGCCGCTTTAGAAGAGTTGCGCCACCTATTACAGGAAAGGAACGAATTCCGATGCCGTCTGATTCAACTGGATGAAGAGTTACGTGTGTTAGAACAGGAAAGGTAAGTTCTGTGGCCGCACTGGCTCCAATTCTTTTTTAGCTTTGCTTATCTCAGTTTATATTGAACGTACGCCAATATTTTTATCTATCTAGTGCGGACGCAGACTGTTCAGCTGTTTGCATAAGTCGCAGTGCCGTATTTGTTACTCACTTCGGTTCAGTTCAATTACAAAACTGTAATCTGAAAGTCGGAGTCACTGGATCACACCACTTCACATGCTGCCAATATTTTAAAACCTGAGAGAAGTGTATGTGGTATCTATCGACCCTATGAGCTATCTATAGCTTTCGCAAAAAAATCACCGAAGTAGTCTGACTGAAGGACAAGCATTGAACCGAATACAAAGTGCCCCCTTAGTTTCTCGACCATGCCACATCTGACTGGTTTAGATCAACTGGTGTGCTCGTTCTCGGTCATCCCACTTTACTCAAAGTTGACTTCCGTCATAAACTATACGTAACGCTGTTCCACATCTCTTCGCTTGTTTTTCTGTTCCGATACTCCTAGTGCATTCTTACTTTAGAAATTCGCTCGTTGCTCGTCTCTAGGCTTTTCCGGTATATAAGCTAGTGAGGGTAGTAAGTTATACTAGAGCCACATTTGTTCTCGCCCGAACTCGACCTTATTTATGTCCTCACGTTATATCTATTTTTACATCGCACCTTTCATGGGTGTCCGTTCGTTGCATTGTGAGATTTAACTTTTTATATTCACACGCCTATTGGATATTCAATTCAGTACCTGTCTGCCTACGAAACGTGGGTTACCTTTGGGTTGCCGAGTCGAATCCAAAATAAATAACTGAAAACTATCACCCAATAGTGAACCTTTTCTAACACTAAGGAGTTTGATAAAAATAACAGCAAACTTAAACGTTGATAATCTCTTCGTGTTTACGATGCACCTACAGGTAACAATGACTAGGCACAAGCAGCTAGTTGTTATTTGAACGCAACAGGACATTTATGTAACACTCTTTTTAGCCCTCTTTTTACCAACTCAGGTACTAGGATCTATTTTCGGTGGAGACAGAGTGATGCTGAGTCTGTCGACTTCTCTGCCACTGCTATTAACCCGGTTTTACAGCTTTCCTTTCGTACATCACGGTTCATCTTTTTGCCCAGTTATAACATTTAATTTTCTTTTGCCGGGTGAAACGGCTACTTCTCAGCCGACAGAACAGTTCCCTACCTATTGCCTCCTTTTCGGCCAACGCCTGTCGTAATGCTCAAGGTGGTGCGTTATCCGCGTATTGGAATAATATCAGAATGGAAAAACGCTAGGCCTTGCCGGCTCGCGATCTGGCAGTGCACGACCAGCTTTGTGCGCGTACACGCTCTGCAAACGGAGATAGCGTTGCTGTGACTATTTTTTGAGCTTGCTAGGTCACAGTCCTGTGATGTCCACCTGTAGAGTTCAGACGAACACGAAACGGCTCATGGAACTCAGTGTTACCATCGGGCAACGCCTAAATTGTATCCATTTCAAAAACTGTCCCTGTGACAGAATCGCGGTTCACATTGAGATCGTATGTCGCAACCCATCCACATAATGAGCACTTCAGACCAACTCAACTTGAATCATGGAGTGCGCTACATTGAGATTGTGTTCCCTCATAGTAATTTCCACTTGGTTGCAGTGAAGTGGACCGTTGGAACTCCTGTTTACGCTCGTGACCACTGAGCTGGATATCCACGCAGTGATAGCGCACTCAGGTTACATGTACTACGACGTCCCTGTGGGCGATGACATGAGTCCACCTCTGCAATCTAACTCGCGTTACTGTAGCACTTGTACACCAACTGGTCCAACTGTGCATCTGTCTCTACGCATTAAATCCATGATGATCAGTCTTCATCCCCCATGCCTCGGTGGGATACGCTGCTGGCTAGTGCTGTAAGACATTCTGTCGATCTTACACTTTGCTCTTTTTTGTTTCTAACTGAAATGTCCCTTCACACGTGTCACCGTTGTGATTTTATTGTTCCTTATACGTTGATAATCTTAATCCTTCGGCAGATACGCTGCTTTCAGGTCTTCTTCCTATTTTTACTACATCTACTCGGTGCGTTTCTTGTACTCGTTACGCGTACGAGCTGAAATGGTTTATTGCAAACCATCTGCTCTGGCACGTTCTTTCATGTCATTCATTAGGTTCATCATCATCGTCATCATTATACACGTTAGCTAGACGTGGGATACACTTCAGCTACTGTGCCGTAATACACAGAAGAGAAAATGAGAAAAATGCAACAGTTGCAAGGCAGCTGAGCCACCGGTAACGGATGGGCATCATTTCGTTAAGCTACTAGCCGGCTACAATGCAGCAAAAAAATTACTATGCAAAATTATATAAGGGTAAATAGTGAGGTCATGGTTGGAGGGGCAGGTTAAGAAGGATGGGGTGGGACAAAGAAACTCGCAGCACCAACGCCACTGAAGTCGACTCCTAGCCATATCAGCAAGTGTATCCAGCCAAACTTGTTCATCCTCTTTCGGACACCAACCAGAGAGCCGAGACGCTCCAACCGAGGCCCGCTCCGAAGTGAGGGCTTTCATTCCTCTTGACCAAGTCATCGCTTGGCCACCTCTCCTCTTCTTTCATCCACACCCCCGGCGCGCAAACAATGCACGTCGCGGGAGTCGGTGGGCTGATATGCGTGTGTTTCTTAACTGAGGTTCACTTCTCGTATCCCCGTGTCTTTTTAACTACTATCCCCGTAGCCACTTTTTACCCAATGGCGCCTTAGCTCGTACTGCTCAGTTTAATACCATTGCACACCTACCACCAGCTCGACTTCGAAACCGAATTACGTTTGAGTCTACGTGGCCGCTGCTTGTTCATTCTGCGGCATTACGTCTACTAATTTCGATCGCAGCTGATTACTAACTTTTGAGTGGTATGACCATGTCCTCATTGTGCATGCACTGCATTCACGTTGGCGATTTACTGGAATATTACTCGTAAGTAGCAGGATTTTAGTTGTAATTTTGTTGTGGTTTTCATCCCAGTAGTTCACAAGCTACATAGCACAGCCTAGTCCGGAAAAGCACCAGACGTGTTTCGCCCTATTGGGGCTCGTCATTGGTGCGCATTCCCTCGGTCCTGTGCTATGTAGATTGTGAACTACTGGGATGAAAACCTCAACAAGAGTTACTGGAATTGTTTCGTTCCATATTTATTCTTCACAGCACAAACGATCCGGACGTCGAAGGTCCTCTGCCTCCGGAACCATTGAATAAATTCCGCCCTGGATGGAACGAAAATTCCGACATTAGGACCATGTGAGTCTCGTACTAAAGAACACTTATTGTCTATTATTTAACCCCTCCCCGTGTTTCAGCGAACTCCACTGGGCTGAAGAGTCAAGGCGTTAGCATCACACGGTTTGCACTGCGAAATGTTTCCCTTCATATCCTCAAATTCGTGCCACATATAATATTAGAGGTTGGTCGATGTTAGATCGAGTTGTTTTAGTTCGACGCACACTTGCGCAAGGTACCATCACGGTGACTTTTGCACTTGATATCAGTTAACGGATGTTCGGCATAGCAATCATGTTCCGCTACAAAAGCCTTTATGGCGTTAGGTACGAATTTGAGTTGATACGTTGTGGCGACCTCATAGTTCCACAAAACCGCGCCGGACGCCTTTTCCCGTCCTCTAATTTTGCTAGTCGTGTTGCCATAGGACGTTACGCGATGCGATGTTGGCGACACCGATATCAGTTGGCATTTATAGGTGACAACATTATCGGGTGGCAACTCTCTGTCTTACCCAAACGACACTGTTACCAGGTCACCGATTGAGTTGTCGAGTGGCAATCAAGTCACACTGATTACCACCTACGTTCCATTAACGCACTCTTGCTAACGAGGAAACCCGTACTATAGGTACCACGCTATAAAAACCGTCTTCGATCTTCGCTTGTGCAGTAAACGCTTCATTGAGGGTTATTATCTCACTCTCGCTGACGCGTGTAGTTTTGCGGTATCCGTGTAAGTCGCGGCGCAGTGAGGAAGAACCGTTGGCTGACTATCTCAATCGGAGTGCGTCGATCCGAATTCGACCAGCCACTTGTCCGCACTGGGCACAGAATTCGCATCGTTGTTCCGGCTAAGGGCGCTGTATCCAATACAGCTACTCCAGTCGATTGTGATGGTAGTTGGTAGTGCAGGCTAACCGAGGGGACGCGGATCAAGCGACGGACAGCTGCCCAAGTGCCAGTCAACGTGTCGACCGGCTGGCGACAGTTCTCTGGGCTGGATGAGCAGCTGAAAACGAGCTCGACGCAGCCCGAACGATAGTATTTCTGGGTGTAAGTAAAGGGTAACGTGGCGACGATGTTACATCAGGTGGGTGGACCGTCATGCAAGACATTTTCGCTGCTTCGTGTAATTGGCACTTCGACCACTACAGGAAACGCAGATGATCCATAACCTTTAGCGTCACCTTTACCTCGTGAAACACTACCTTACTATCTGAAACCGCCGCCATTATATCGATTTTGTACCTCAGGAAAACCTCAGCAGGCAAGGTAGTGGTTCCGACTAACATATCAATGGTTCCCGGTTCGATACTTATTATATCGATCTGAAACGATCAAAGAACTACGTAACCGGTCATGAAGTGCAGTTTTTCAGGTGGCCAACGCCCAATTCGCATACGCTTCAGTGTCCTAGTGATCGAATTGGCCAAGGTTCGCTTCAATGCAAATCGCGGTCCACATTGAGATTGCACGTCGCAATCTAATCACACAACGAGTACCACAAAATCACTCTTTACTCAATCATTTACTGCTGTGCCAAGCGTTGTCTGGCTAAAGGGGCAGAGGTTCCAGCTAACATCCCAGTGGTCCCGGATTCGATATCTGCTATCTCTACCTAACGAGATCAATTAAGTTCGTAACCAGTCGTGAAATGCAGTGTTTCCGGACTAGGAACACCCAATTTCCATCTGCTTCAGCTACAGTTCTGGTGATCGCATTGACCAAGGTTCTCTTCCATGCGAATCGCGCTCCACATTGAGTTTGCGCTCGCGATCTTTTCAAAATGACCCATTAATCAAACAGTAACCGTTGCAACAACCATTGCCCGTCGTGAACCGGCAGCTAAGGCAGTGAAGATCATCCCAGGGTTCGATACCTGCTATCTCTATCCGGTAAGATCAAGCAAAGTGGAAACGCGTTGTGCGTTCGGGCAGGCAACACCCAATTTCCATCATATTCGGAGGCTTTCTAGATCGATTTTCAAGAGTCCAGTACGCTTCAGGAGCATTCATACTCATCAGCGCTCCAACCCATTGGTCTCAAGGGTCTATGAATCGTTTGCACTTTACTTGCAGCCAACTCTGTAAGCGTTTTTGTTCAGGTATTATTCGCGGTACCTGAAACATCCTTTCGACGGACCACACATGGTACCCCTCTCTATCAAAGGGTTGCGGCTCTAGTTATGCCGGTTGCGAGAACACCCACACCGTTAACTTTAGCCAACTGCACCACAGGCGGTTTAGTTGGTAGGTTATGCTCCTGCAGTAGCTATTCAAGAGTAAGCGAGGAATCGGATCCCGAGTCATCATCATCATCCTCATTGTTGTATACGAAAGGTCAAAATGCACGAGCAAGTTTAAGGTCACTCTTGTAAACGAACTGCTGTAATCTGGTCAATGTCTAACTGGGTGAGTACATTAAGGTGTCGCAAGGAGAAGGATGAACCAATAGGGAAGCAGAGAATTAGACGCTTTGTGTGTGTGTGTGTGTGTCTGGGGTTGTGTGCACGTGTCTGTTTAGACTAACCGTCAAGAATGCTGACAGAATACACAACATCACCTCTCCGCTTAATCTTATGATGCGTCAAAACCATATCGATTCGGTCGTCTTTGTTCTCGGCTCGTCCTGCGGAGCTGCGTGCTTTGCGTGGTTTCGTCAGTGAAGGTTGGTGGCATATGCCCCGTTCGTCTGATACTTGTGAATAATCGCCGGGCGTTGACTGTGCGGCCATCCTCCAGCCGGTAAGTTCCTGGCCCACATGCACGCGTTATTCTTATCTGATCTGATAACGTGGGTTGTCCTTTTGATGCAGCGTTTACCTTCACGCGCACGAATGTTCCGGGCTGGAGCGGAGTAGTATGCTTCTGGTAAATGGTCTAATATCGATGGCGACGATCTAACTCTTCGGAATTATTGGTTGCAGGAATAGGAAGTGCGGCATTCAACTTTGTCCGAAGTGCACGCCCAAGCATCAGTTCAGCTGGCGTTTTGTCTGTGGCTCGGTGGTGTGCGGTTCGGTAAGAAAATAGTGCTTGTAGAACTGCATCCTCCCAACCTGTACCAGATAAGCGAATAGTTTGGACACTTTCTTTCAAGGATCGATTGAACCGCACTACCATGCCGTTTGCCTCTGGATTATACGGCGTTGTACGTGAGTGCCGGCTAGCGTGAAGTTGAAGGAACGTATGAAACTCGTGGCTTGTAAACTGCGGGCCGTGGTCTGTCACTATCTCCTATGGTAATCCGAAGCGGGAAAACATATTTCAGCCATCGAATAATGCTGGCAGTAGTCACCTCTCCACACAAATGGACTTCCGGTCACTTACTGTAAAAGCAGGTCGCCACCAAACAGTTCCTTTTAATCTGAGGCGCTGAGCTACATGGATCAATTGTATCAAGAGCCATCTTGGCCCACCGTCGCATAGGATAGTCAATGGGTGGTATAGGAGAGGAAACCGGCCTTGAACTCTTGTCTGCCCTTTGACATGAAGAGCAATCATGAACAAGATTTTCTATTTCGTGTGACATTTTGGGCCACCAGAAACATGCGTCAACCTTGCGTTCCGTACGAACGATTCCAGGGTGGCTTTCGTGAGCACATAGCATGATCTTCTGTATCAAGATCCGAGGAGCCACAAACTTTTCGCCACGCATTAAACATTCATCTATAAATGAAAGTTCGTGACGCAACACGTACTATGGACGAAACTCGCCTGTGATCTTTTTATTTTGTGGCCAACCGTTTAGCAGAGTGTCTCATCTTCCTGAGTCGCCTTCGGGAGTGCTTCCTTAGTCATGGCTGAGATTGGTTCATTACTCGGGGAAGACACCAGTAACCTCTCATTATCATCCTCATTATTTTCAGTTTCGGTGAGGGGCAGTCGAGAGAGCCCATCCACTACCTGCTTTTCGCGTCCGGGACGGAATTTAATTTGAAAATCTTATGTTAACAATCGTGCATACCAGCGATGTATCCGGAGTGGCCTGATGCCATTTGTTCCCCGAGTAAGTAAACTAGTTAGTGCTGCGTGGTCTGTACGTAGAGTGAAGGGTCTTCCGAACAAGAACAAATTCCACTTCTTACAGGCCCAAACACAGGCAAGGGCTTCTTTTTCCCCGGCAGAGTAAGAAAGCTCCGCCGCCGACAATTTTCTGGAAGTGTATGCAATAACTCTTTCATGGCGATTTTGAATTTGGGATAGTATAGCACCTAACCCAATGTTTAATGCATCAGTAGAGACAATCGTTGGGCACGTCTCGTCGAAAGTCGAAGTGACTGGTGTGGAAGCAATGCGGCGTTTTATCTCGTCAAATGCCTTTTGTTGGGGTGGACCCCAAACAAATACACTTTTCTCCTTTGTCAGTTCACGCAGTGGCTCAGCAATATTTGTGAAATCCTGCAGGTAACGTAGGTTGTAAGAACACATACCTAGAAAATGCTTTATTTCAGTGGAGTTCTGTGGGCAAGGAGCCTCGGTGATGGCACGTGCATTGTCAAAACTCGGCTTCATACCGTCATTTGTTATAATGTGGCCCAGGAACTCGATCTCACTAGCATTAAATTTGCACTTCTCGAGGTTTAATCTGAGGTTAAGATCGTGTAGTCGACGTAACACAGCATGCAGTCGTGAATCATGTTCTTCTGGAGTCCTACCGAATACACAGATGTCGTCCATGTATACTATTTGGCCAGGTAAATTGCCAAATGAGTGAACCATAAACTTTTGCCAAGCTGCTGGGGCTGAACTCAAGCTCATTGGCAAGACTTTGTACTGAAAGAGTACGTCCATAGTGAGAAATGCGGTCAGCGGTCTTGACTCCTTAATTAGAGGCATGTGAAAGAAAGCCTTCCTAAGGTCCAATTTTGAAAAATATCGGGCGCCGGCTAGTTTGACTATTAGTTCATCCGCGGTTGGAAGCACAAACTTTTGTACCACGATTTGCCGATTTAGGGCCTGCAGGTCATTGTATATTCTTACTGTACCGTCCTTGAGGACTGTAACCATAGGGTGGACC